GGATTTGGAGAACTTGCTGCAGATGTTGTTACAGCTATTGATCAGGTACATATATAGACAGACAAGTACTCAGTGTTGTTTATGCCATTTACGTCAGGCTTAATATTATGACTAATTTGATTGTTTACAGGCAGCTCAAGATAGAGTTGATATAATATGTTTGTCAATCACTCCAAATAGGCGTCCTCCCGGTATTGCAACTTTCTTCAACCCAATAGACACGACATTGTTGTCAGCTATAAAGGCTGGTATTTTTGTTGTGCAAGCTACTAGAAATACCGGACCTTCAGCTATGAGCATGTCCTCCTTTAGCCCATGGATCTTTACTATTGGTGCCACCTCTCATGATCGATTTTACAGCAACTCGCTATCTCTTGGAAATAATGTGACTATACTCGGAGTTGGACTTGCACGTAAAATTCTGTTGCTCTAATCTTGATGACACAACAATGGGATTTAGAGTTCTAAGGTTGCATGGCCACCATGTTTCACCCAGTAAGTTCGATATCTCCATCAATTTCTCATATTGGTTTGAAGAAATATATATAATGATCTCTACAGATGAATTAAAAATTTCAATTTTGATTCCTAATTTGGAAGATGTATTCAAGCATTTTGAGAAAAATGGTGAATTTTTCTGCTTTGCGGGACAGCTGAACCAAGCTGTGACAGGCATGTTTAATCTTTATAGAGCATCTCAACTTCTGTTTAAAGGAGAGGAAATTCTTGAGAATGCCAAGAACCTTGGAAGAAGCCTTGCAGCAGCTACCCTAACTTCGATGTCTTTTCTTCTACGACACTACTTTTTCCTTTTGGATCCTAAGTATGTCGTTAACCCTCTAACTGATAGTACTCTTATTACCACCAGCATAATCTTCACTTTGATTTTGATTTGTCTGATTTAAAGTTTAACCTGTTAATTACATGTTTAGTGAACATTTGCTTTCACACGCCTTAACTTTTGGGTTATTTGATTGGTGTTTGCAGCTGTTCTTGGTGATGGATTCATGGCAAAGGATTTGACATTTCAAAACACAGCAGGTCCTGATGCACATCAAGCAATGGCGTTAAGATTAGACAGTGATCTTTCTGTGATTGAGAATTGCGAGTTCATAGGAAATCAAGACACTCTTTATGCTCATTCCCTGCGCCAATTCTACAAATCATGCCCCGCATTATAGGGAATGTGGATTTCATCTTTGGAAATTCAGCTGCAATTTTTCAAGACTGTCAAATTCTGGTTCGTCCTAGACAAGTCAAGCCAGAGAAAGGCGAGAACAATGCAATCACAGCTCATGGTAGAACCGCCCCTTCACAAACTACAGGGTTTGTTTTTCAGAACTGTTTGATTAATGGAATTGAGGATTACATGGCATTGTATCATAGTAATCCTAAAGTGCATAAGAACTATTTGGGTAGGCCATGGAAGGAGTATTCCAGAACAGTTTTTATCAACTCTGTTTTGGAAGAACTTGTTACTCCTGGGGGTTGGATGCCATGGAATGGTGAGTTTGCACTTAAGACTCTTTATTACAGAGAATTTGAGAATAAGGGAAGTGGTTCTGATTTGTCTCAAAGGGTGTCTTGGAGTAGTAAAGTCCCTGCTGAACATGTGTCGAGTTATTCGGTTGAAAATTTCGTGGATGGTTTCGGTTTATACTGGTGGAAGGTACATTCTAAGTCTGAATGATACCTTGATCCCTTATTGTCGTGAAGGTTGCGAAGGCATCGTTCGAGTTGGGTCAGCAGACACTCGGAGTTGTTTTGTGATTGTTCAAAGTAAAGCTTACGAAGTTGTGACGAGTGAAGTCGTGGGCGTGGTACGGGTCAATAATGTAAGATGATTGTTCTGTTGTATGTTGTTTGCTGCTGTATTTGGTATCCTCACCAACATATTCACATATTCCTCTATATTTGTGCAGGAACTCTGGTCTTTGTGGATTCAATGAGCTCTCTTGCGTGATTTGCCTGTGGATGCATGTGGCTCCATTAAGTTATTGCCGCCAACCGCCAACAATTGTTATGTTCTGAAATTTGGCGGTAAGCAAATGATTCCTGTCATGAATAAGTGAGAAAACAATTGCCATTGATTTTTATTCTTACAATTGGTTTGACATTCTGATATCGTCTGTCGTCAGCTGTTACTGAATCTTCAATTGTTTGTTCAAATGTAGGTGATTACCGAATCTTCATTGTTTGTTCAAATGTAGGTGATTACCGCGAGATATACCAAGCACCATAGCAACATGTATTTCGCTCGGCGGAGTCCTTGGGACTGCTTCAATGCGAAAAGTCTATTCAAACAAATGGTTGCTTGTGTTTCTATGGATTTCGTAGGATTTACGTAATGGCTTGTTCCTCATGTAACAACTTAGCTTTAGAAATTTTCATAATTGAGTCGTGTTTCCAAGCTGTAAATTTCGGATACAACTTGCAATTTGTAAAAACTGTTAATTTGGTTAATAAACCAAATTTAGCAATACTGGCTTTACATTGTTATGAACTTCCAACCTTCCAATATTAATATATATATATATATATATATATATATATATATATATATATATATATATATATATATATATATATATATATATATATATATATATATATATATATATATATATATATATATATATATATATATATATATATATATATATATATATATATATATATATATATATATATATATATATATATATTAAAAAAGTATTATCCAAAAAAAAAAAACTTCTTAGGTCGGTTAATTATACCCGACTTAAGAAGTAAGTTCTTAGGTCGGGTATAAATGGTTTCTGCAGGCTAGACTTATTAAGTCGGGTTCTGTCTAACCGACCTAAGAAGTTGTTTCTTAAGTCAGGTCCACAACCGACTTAAGAAGTCAAAACTTCTTATGACGGTAATTCTTAGGTCGGGCTCGTACCCGACTTAAAAAGTCATTTTTAACCGACTTAAAAAGCATTTTTTCCACTAGTGACCTGAGCTATTAGATGCAATAAAAAAAGTTAAAGATGAGCTCCAAATAGACTTGAACTTTAAAGGAAAACAGACAACTATTGAATCATATTTCAATAGAGTGTAATATATTTCTTTCCGTTTCTATGAATTATTAATTTATGATTTTCTTGAGACCGGAAATTATAAAGGGATCTCCCGAAAAAATTATTATCTTATTATTTTATTGAGTTTTTCAATTTTTTACATTGATCCAAATCGGGACCGGACAAATTTATTATTTTAGAGAGTTTATTAATTTACCGAGTATTAATTTAAAGAGTTTCTACTGTAGTAAGTAATCAGAAGTTGGATAAAGAAATCACTAATTAATTGATTAAAACATAATAATCTATTTAGCAACTAAAAAACATTTAAATTATGATCAAATAAATAAATAAATCAAAAAAAAAAGAGTAATAAAATAACTATACAAAACAAGAGGAATGTATATTAATTAATGGAAGGTGAAAAAAATTGATGGATCAAAATCTAAACAAATAAGAAATAGACTAGGATTTAGATTAAATTAACCTATAGAAAGTCACGTAATATATAAATGGATGATAAAATTAAAGAAAATAGAAACTTTAAAAAAAAATTCTAACTTTCACATTATTTAGAAAAAACAAATATGCTTATTTTTTATATGGTGAAATGAAAACAATAATAAGAAGAAACGTGAATGAAAAGTCAAATGCTATATTCCAAATGCCATGCCATTAATGCTACAACATGATATCCATACTATCAGTATTACAAATTCAATTTATATACATGAGAGTACTAGACCATCTTTGCCTAAACTAAAATGCTTATTACACATAATCAATTATGACTATACAACCACTTATCTACACTCATGTAAAAACAAATCACTATGCATGTTTATTCAAAACACAGTAAAATTCAACTTCTAACTCTCTTCTACAACAATAATGAAGCCATGTAATAATAGTGAAGTAATATCAACAAAAAAAAACTAATAAGAAAAAATGGTTTATTATTGGAACATTGATCACACTCACATAGTAATAGCAACAATAATATCAACACAACATGCACAACATGACCAGACTTAAAACAGAAGAAAAAAATGCAAAGAGAGGTGGATCACAAGCAGCTCTCAAAACATGTCTAGAATTAAGCTGATTCGACATGATTTCGCGGTCTTAAATGCAACAATAGAGGAATTGTATACTATACAATCATGTTCTCATAAATTAAAACATATCAAATGACTCATAATCAACAAGGTAATTATGAGTCCATAGTTTGAGGACCGTCGTTTCGACGAGACTCTGTAAAAATCAACAGTGTTAATTATGCATGTCTTATAATCTGACTTTAGTGTCTAGTTCTAATTTAGGTTGTTTTGTCGTGAGAGCGAGAAACCGCCTAACAGCGATTTGTCAGAAGAGCGAAAAATACATTAAGGTGTGTCCATCGATAAAAAAATATTACCAAATAGCACATTAAAAGCTTATCTTCCCTGATCGGAAAACATTTACTAATTTTGAGGCTGGTAGACCTCATGATTATTCACTTTTTAAAGTTGGCATCATTTTTAGTTTTGATTGCTCTACATAACAAGATTTGTGGATCACATGCACACGTGTTAATTCCTCCTAATATGTGGATTATGTATTAATCTAGATGAAAGCATAAAGCCACTTACTTTTAATATCTCTAGCAATAACCTTATTAAGGTTGATAGGTAGCATTGGCAGACATTATTCAGTACTTTAGTAATAAAAAAAATTATGGTTGAAGACTTGAAACCTTAAGCTTGCAATGATAAACATGACAAGGGTGCATTGAGATCAAATAAAATTTGGCTTCATAGTAACATCCAATATTGCACGTAGAAAGTAATGAAATTTACACTGAAACATGTTGCTCTTTAGATTATAAAGTCTAAAAAATACAAAACTTCAAAACAAATAAGAAACTTGTTGATAATAATTATGAAAAGCCACTTGGGTGGGTACAAGGTAAAATTGTTACCAGTCTGAGGCTGAAAATATATATGGAATACCCTTTCTTTTAAAAGAAATAAGGTTTTTCCTATGAATTAGTATCTTGCAAAGTCCCTTTGCTTTAATATCAAGTTCCTCAACTGTTTGGGTAGTTAAATTGAACAAAATCAATCGGCCGTCGTCTTTTTTTCTGAACACCATATCACCGTTCCTTCCCGCTCCGATGGGATACGCTCCGATGGGATACACAGGAAAAGGGATGGCATCTACAATAAACATTTTAGTCCATGACTCTTTAACACCAAGTTCACCCAAAACTAGAATGTGAAATGTAGTTGTCTTTGGTAAATTTAAGATCAGAGCAATAGACCCATTCAATAGCACCAAGTGTCTCGGTACTAAATGAAAATCAAAGTTGTCATCTATGTGTGTTGTAATGAAACACTCATTGCTCCAGTCAAATGACAACATATATGTTTCATTTTGTGTTACACTTTCACACATCCAATGAGAGAGTCCATCCACGTACAATTGTTCACAACAATTCTTAGAAATGTGATGCAAAGTGAGATCAAGTTCTCTCCAACATTTCTTCCTTAGACAATATATCTCCCATGTATAATGTTTATTACTGTAAGTGCCTTGAACTTGTTTAAATTCTTCTCTCAGGCACATCAATTTATAGTCGTCTCTGCGACTGTCATAACCAAATCCACTGTAACTAACAGAAGAAATATCATCCAAAAAGCTAAGTGGAATGACCTTACACTCATCAGTAGAAGGGTTCCATACCATAAACAATTTCGCGAAGTAGTAGCATGCAAATGCCCTCCTCAGACAAAGGATCCCATTAACACTACCTGAGCCAATAATATCATAATTGACACGGACATAGAAGTTAAAATTCGAAGTACATGGCCAACGTAATTTGACCCTATTCTCAAACCTATCTCCAGAAACAGAACACAATTCAAATGGTTTATCTAGATAGGAAACTTCCGAATGAGTAAACTTCCCATATATGAGAAGAGATGCATCATCATAATAAGGATCTTCCTTTGTTAAGAAAACTTTGCGGTACATAGTCATGAAATTAGGATTATCAAACAAAAGGGACCATGATTTGCAAACGCATTCAAATCGCTTCAAAGATTTTAAACACAATTTTGATAGAATGGAAAACGCAATATCATCATGTATGTGTAATTCTTTTCTTAAATTTACCTTTTCATTCTTACCGGCAACCACAGCAGTGAGATGTTTATTCATGTTCCAACGAAAGAACCACAACTTTGCTTGCAACTCAACCCTAATGTCAACACGAAAGAACCACAACTTTGCTTGCAACTCAACCCTAATGTTAACAACGAACCAACAGTATTATAGCCGCTAGGGAAATAAAATCTATTGTGATTTTAAATATATTTTAAAACTCAATCTATTAATTTTGTAAAAGGTTTATTTTTATTTAAAATAAAAAATATAATCTTTAAATTATCATTATCTCATCAATTTATTTTATTAATTATAAAAATTAATTAAAATATATTTAATTTAACTAGTATTTGTACCCATGGAAAGTAAATTATTTTAAGAACCGATTAATATAAAATTAAAATATATTATATAATAATTAATTACATATTTAAATAATTTTAATTATATATGAATTATTCTAAATATAGTAGTTATTTATTTTTTAAACAAGATATAATAATAATTGACTGTAAGATATTTTTTCCAAAAGATAGAGAATAAAATATTTAAAATAAAAATTGACATCTTCATAAATCATATTCATATTTACAAATTACATAGCATGTTGAAAGAATTTTTTTTTAAATAAGGGACGCGTGTGGTGTCTTTCAAGGCCACATGTCACGAGTAATCAATACCTATGACAGATATGTGTAGGGGCACTTGAGTGCTTAGTAATGTCTCGTTTTCCATGCTATGATTATAAATAGGGGAAAGTCTCTTTCATTTTCACTTCCCTTCATTTTAGTTAGACTTTCTTTCAAATCTTTCCAAACACTAAGTGTCTTTCTCCGTTGCTCATATCTTCTTCCTTCAAGTAAGTTTATGTTTTCTTTTCGAGTTTTTATGAATTTTCCGATGACTTCTCTGGGGAGCTCGCATGGTTTATGGGGGATGCATGAATTTTCCGGCAACTAAGTTTATTGCGAGTTTTTATGAAAATAATTAAGACAAAGAAAACAAATTAGAATGTGAGATGGTAGCATTTTTTTAGCTATCTATCCAGTTGGTTAGTGTGAAGAGTGTAAAATGGAATAAAATTATTATTTTATGGGTAAAATTAAAAGAAAAACAGGTTATACCAAAACAATGTATTACTTTTATATATTGTTATAAATTATAGATTATAGATATAAAAAAAATTCATATATTAAAATATTCATTATATTAAAAATTGAAAGGAAAAAATTAAAATATTGAGTAAAAATGATCTTTAATAGTCTATATTAATCTATCGCCAACAGTCCGACCTTTTTAAAGATAAATAAAATTTATGTTACAAAATTAAACTTGTAAAACACTAAGTAACTATTCAATTACATTAGCAATAGATTGTTATATTAAAATTTAAAATAAATAAAATACAAATATATAACAGCACTACAACATACTTAAAAGAAAAAAATTCGGAACTTTTCAATACAAAACATGGTTACAAATCACCAGTAATCTATTTATATAATTTAACATTACCGACCACATGTTTGCATGTTTGTTAATCTGTGATCAATTGTGTCTTGATGGAAGAAGTGTCTTGACCAAGCTCCTATAATATTGCAATTGATAGAAGCAACCACAAACAATAACTTTTTATAACGCATATTATATGACATACATGAAATATGTTGACATAGTAGTCATTAGCATACACAATTCTAAGGGTATCAAGATCACTTTTTTTTAAAGTTATTATTAATATATAAACAAAAAGCTTATCCAAATTCCTATATGGTGAGCAAGAAGATGATCATTAACTTCATGTACAACCAGAGTATATGGGAGATAAGATTGAAGTAATTAAATACTCCATGAATTTGTTTAAGAAAAAAGGAGTAATTAGTAATAGAAAAGCTTAGAGTAAAATAGTAATGACTTTTTAAAAAATATTTGGCATAAGAAAAGACACTCGTAATTTGGACATTGAAATTTTGAGAAACATTGAAATCTAATATATGTGTTTGAGCAATAAATTAAACCTGAACAATATGTTTGCCATGAAGAAGAATATCATTGATTCTACTAAAAATCATAATAGACATGGTCACATTAAACTTGGCTATATAATCCACACGTGTTAATTCAGGATTAGGATCATATCTTTAATGCACATCATATATTGAGTTCCTCTATGCATAAGCAAGTAAAACAGACCTGCATAAAGATGGTGGTAATGAAATGTATATAAATCATCCTCATATAGCCTTTTTTTTAATCTCTTTTATACTCTACTTAAATTTCTAGAATGTAGAAGCACATTGAAACTAAAAATAAAAATTAAGTCAAAATAAAGGAAGAAGCAATTACTATATTGTGAGGGGATGTTTTTCTTCATTTTTCTTCACCAAATGAATTATGGTAGAGAGCATCATAAGTTTTAAAATAGATTTTAATGTGTTATATTTTTCATTAAAGTTTGATCAAAAGATTCATACACTTCGAAGCATGCAATTCATTATTCATTAAAATTATATAAATGGATTTAACTCATGGATATTAAATTTTAAATATTAAAATCAAAATTATACAGTAAATCACTAATTATATTTCAATAGGCATTGCATTAAAAAGCGATATATGAATAAACCTCTAAAATAAAATAAAAAAGTGTTATTCATTAATTTAGTGATTCAATTGTGTCAACCACATACGTATAATACAAAATTCACTATCATTTTTTATAATGGTTATTCATTCCAAGTACATGCTATGTCGTGTTATTGTATTATAAACACACCCATTTGAATCTCTTCATCAGTTGAAAACAGAAAAGAAACCATAAATAAGCAGACACTAACAATCAACACATGTCCACCACTTTCTCTCCTTATTTCTATGAAATGATTCCAAGAATTGTGTGGCACCAACAAAAACAAAAACAAAACAAAAAATAATATTAATAATTAGAAGAACAAAATTTCAAGTTTTGATTAGAAAAATAATAAAAACACATTATCATTAGAATTAAGAATCACTAAATTTAAAAGAGATCAAAAGGTAAATGAAAACTTATAAAATATCGAATTTTCTGAAATAATAGATAATAGATTCACCAAAGTTTCTAAATGAACAATTTCTCTTGACAATTGTTTAATCAATTTAGTAAAGAAAGGTCTACAAATTGTAGAAAGTAGTTTTTATTTTATTTCATTTAATGAGTCACGCTTAGTTATTTGGATAGTGTGAGGTATAGCCGTTAGAGAAAAAGAAGAAAAAACACACTCAAAGGTTAATTTAGAAATAAAAGAAATAGGCTACACCAAAACAATGTATTGCCTTTATATATTGTTATAGATTTGTACACATGAAAAGTAAATTATTTTTAAAAAAAATTAATATAAAATTAAAATATATTATACAATAATTAATTACATATTTAAATAATTTCAATTATATATGAATTATTCTTAATATAGTAGTTATTTATTTTTTAAACAAGATATAATAATAATTGAGTGTAAGATATTCTTTCCAAAAGATAGAGAATAAAATATTTAAAATAAAAATTGACATTTTTATAAATCATATTCATATTTACAAACTACATAGCATGTTGAAAGAAATTATTTTTTTAATGTTTTTTTTATCTTACCGAATCAGAAATGGGTCAGCAGACAGTAACACGTTGTGAGTTCTTTAATTAGTCGGCGATGGAGAAGATGAAGGGGTGTACCTGCAAGGTATTCCGATGTCAAAGTAAGAGACAGAATAGAAAGAGCAAGTATATGAAAAGTGTGTAGAGAATTGAATACCTACTGACCTTCACTATGCCAAAACAGACCTTTAGCAGCGCTTTTTTTGACCTTTAGCAGCGCTTTAAAGCGCTGCCTAAAGTGGCGCTGCTAAAGGTAAAGGCAGCGCTTTTTTGTGGAAAAAGCGCTGCTAAAGACATCACCTTTAGCAGCGCTTTTTTACCCCTTTAGCAGCGCTTTTTAAAGCGCTGCCTAATCTCCCCCCCCCCCCCTCCCCCCCTTTAGCAGCGCTTTATTAAAGCGCTGTCTTAGACCCCCCCTATAGCAGCGCTTTATGAAAGCGCTGTCTTAGACCCCTCTTTCCCCCCTATAGCAGCGCTTTTTTAGCAGTTTCTCTGTCCCCTTTAGCAGCGCTGTCTAATGTGCACGTTTTGAAAAAAAAAAATTCTGATTAATGGCATTTTTTATATATTTTTCAATAAACCTGCTTATATTACAATACCTGCTTATATAATTTAGCCCTTTATTTCAGCACTTTGGCTTTATATACACAATTCAACACTTTGGCATTATGTGCACAATTCAACACTTTGGCATTATATGCACAATTCAACATCACAAATTATATACAATTCCACTTTAATATATATAATTCAAAAGCTTCACAATTCAACATCACAAATTATATACAATTCTCAACTCGAAATTCAACATCACAAATTATACAATTCTACTTTAATTTTTTCCAATCTTTATTGCTGGCCATAATATACCTGTAATTCAGGAAAACTAAAGTATCAAATGAATGACATTCAAATATGTAAATAAGAAATATATATATATATATATATATATATATATATATATATATATATATATATATATATATATATATATATATATATATATATATATATATATATATATATATATATATATATATATACACACACATAAGAAACGTATAAATAAGAAATAATATGTTATTTTATTGAATGAGACAATATGTAATTTTACAAGTACCTTTAACATCTTTTTCTTTTTTTAGTTCGAAGGTGCTTTACTTGTCTCTTAACAACACGGACGGATGGATTGATCCAAATTCCCTCGCTATGATCATTTCTAATATATGATTCGTCTGCTATAATATTCTCATCTGGATCATCCCTAACATAAGATTCATTCTCAACATCAACCTCCCCCTTTTCTCCAATGTTATCGTTGATTACTTTGTTGGAAAAAAGAACTATAAACCATTTCGTACTTTTCGGATCAGTGACATAGAACACTTGTTTAGCTTGTGTGGCTAGAATAAAAGGCTCA